AATCGATATGTTTAGGTCCTCAGCAACTTCTCTAACGGTGATTCGACGATTGGCCAATACTATTTTCTTCACTTCATCAATGTTTTCGTCTGTTGTTGACGTGCTCGGGCGTCCGGCACGCTCTTCGTCGTTCACATTTTCTCGGCCCTCTGAGAACATTTTGTACCACCGATAAACGTTGCTTCGGTCCAAGGTAGCTTCACCATATGCTACAGTCGGAATACGTCAGCGCACTTAATTTTGTTAGATTTTTTGATCCATTTTTTGGAATAGGCAAAAATCTAAGACGAGCCGTAACACATCCAAGCAAAACAGCTGTCAAAGATAAACTGAATATTCAAAATGGCCGAACTTGTTGGCATAAGTGAGGGACATGAGTACTAACATAACTCCACAAAAAATCGAAAATCGAATATACGTAACCCGCGGAAATTAAAAATTCGCGATACTTTTTAAACAGACCTCGTATTCGCCCTAGCATTTCCCTCGACCATCCCGTAATAGATGACCATATCTATGTATTTTTCAGGTATATCATTAATTTTGCTTGGAAACGTACGTCAATGTTATCTAAACACACTCCAGTAAATGTGTGCGAAAATATGCGAAAGACCAGAAAAAAACATTTGACAATTGATTAAATGTGCTCTTACTTATTTTTGCATTCTGTTTTCTATTTTCTGGCGTGCAGTTCCAAAAGAAATAAATTACACGCCCGTTCTACTTGTTTACAAAACATGAATAATCGACTTTGAGACATTTTGTATATAATGTTTTGCATATTGTTATGAAATTGCGTTTAATCTTTTAATAAATTTGTTTCAGATGTTTTTGCGGACAGTATTCATCTTCATGATTTTTCTGTATTGCTTCCAGTTTTGCCTGTGTACGAATTGCGCGTAAGTTACTCATTCTCAACTTTTTTCAATATCATTAAGAAAAACGTAACCTCAAAATATGATCGTTATTGCAGGAACTTTCCTTATCACCCTTTATGTCGAGGTACAATGAAAAGGACATTCAATCCAGATGAATTTTCAAACCTATACGTTCGGTCTCGTCCTATGTATGATGATTCGCATAATGACTGCTCTATCGGTGCAAACTGCAAACCAAAGATCAAATATTTGTTCGTGCTTCTCAATGACGTAAGTAACAGTATTTGTAATTGAACAAGGGAACCTTTTAAAATGCATTATTTCATCCATATTTAATTAATTTGATTATCTGATTTCCACCCGAGAAGGTACATTTTGTATAAAAATGAAAGGATTGCTTTTTATGATTATATAAGCCAAATTCAGTGGCAGTAAATTCCACAAAGTAATGGTAATGTGATGAATCGAGAAACATTTTGAAATTTGAAGTTCCTAGTTTCTAGATATATTAGAAAATATAAAATTTAATTTTTGTTACTGTGATATACCAGGTTACTTGATGAATTCTTAGAGTAAAAGTGAAAAAAATATTTTGTTAGCAAAACTCAACTTTATTCTGCAACATAATCTTCATTTAGCTCAATATATCGAGTTGAACGAGTTTCTAGCTCTTTTAAGCTTTTTAAATAATAATAAATTTCTGAACCGCCAAAATATGCGTCTGTTTTCCATTCTACCTCTTTATTTGAAGCAATTTTTTTTTCCTGGAGCCATCTTTTGAGTTTTGGAAACAGGTAAAAGTCGCATTGGGCCAGATCTAGAGAATACGGTGGATGTACAGACGATAGGAGCAATTCATACCTCAATTCGTTCAATTTTGCCATTACTTTTATCGATTTGTGAGCTGGTTTATTGTCTTGATGAAAGAGAATTTTTTTCTTCGCTAAATGAGGCCGTTTTTCTTAATTTCATCATTCAATCGGTCCAAAAATGATGCATAATATTCTTCTGAGATTGTTCTTCCTTTCAAAATAATCAATGAGGATCATACCATGTGCATCCTAAAATACAGTGGCCACAATCCTTTCAGCCGATTGTTGCGTCTTTGGTTGTTTTGGAGCACTTCCTCTTTTTGGAACCCATTGTGCCGACTGTTGTTTCGATTCAGGTGTATAATGGTGAATCCATGTTTCATCAACGGTTGTATATTGGCGCAAAAGTTCCTTTGATTTGTGCTTAAACATGTCCAAACAATGCTCAAAAGTGCGAATACGTTCACGTTTTCAATCAATTGTTAGAAATCGCGGCAATCATCTTGCAGTTCACTTTTTCATACCTAAATGTTCGTGTACGATATTGAACACACGTTCCGATGAGATGCCCACAGCCGCAGCTAGTTCACACAATTTCGTTTTAAGGTCATTCAACACGATGTCATGGATTTTTTCACTTATTTCTACTATAGTCACTTTATTTGGACGACCACTGCGTTGTGCATCCGATGTGCTGGTACGACTACTTTTAAATGAAGCAATGCAATTGTATACACTTGCATACGACGGAGCAGACCCCCCAAAGTTTTTTGGAAATCCTGAATTACTTCCTACGGTTGCAAGCCTTTTAAATAGAAATACATAATCACTGTACAAATTTGAGTTTTTTTCCATTTTTTCAAAATATCAGTGGTTATGTATTGGTAATACAAATAAGTTTTCGCCGTTATTTTTATAAAAATTATCAATTTATTGTATAAAAAATATACGTTACATTTTATTCAAAATATTGTCCGTCACTAGCTACTACTTTTTGCCATCTTTCTGGCAACATTCGGATGCCACGTCGAAAAAACTCCTCATCTTTTGAGGCTACCAATGAATCGACCCAATTCTTGGCTTCTTCGTAAGAAGTGAAGTGCTGCTTGACCAGGGCGTGAGCCATCGACCGGAACAAGTGGTAATCCGAAGGAGCAATGTCTGGTGAATACGGCGGGTGGGGTAAGACATCCCATTGTAAAGCTTTCAAAGTACCCTTGACGACTTTTGCAACATGTGGCCGAGCGTTGTCATGCTGAAAAATCACTTTGTCATGTCTTTTGGCATATTGGGGACGTTTAAGCTTCAATTCTTGGCTTAATTGCATCAGTTGCTATTTATAACGTTCTCCAGTGATGGTTTCATTATCGAGCTGAAGTAGCTCGTAATAGATTACTGCGAGCTGATCCCACCAGATGCACAACATTCTTCATTCAGCTTCTTGCGATGAATATTCGGTTTGGCCGTTAAAGTTGGTGCATGGCCGGGCTTATCCCACGATTTCCTACGCTTTGGGTTTTCGTAGTGGATTCACTTTTCATCCCCCGTCACTATTCGATGCAAAAACTCTTCCGATTTTGTCTTTGGAGAAGTTGTTCGCACGTAAAAAGACGGCGTTCGATGTCTCTGGGTTTGAGTTCATGTGGAACCCAATTTCCTTGCTTTTGTATCATACCAATGGTCTTGAGACGGTTTGAAATCGCTTGTTGAGTCACTCCCCAGTTTTCTGCGAGCTGCTCTTAAGTTTGACATGAGTCTTGGTACAATAATGCCTCTAACTCAGCGTCTTCAAACTTTACTGGCCTTCCTTCGCGTTCTTTATTTTTTACGTCAATCTTGCCGTTTTTAAACTTTTGAAACTACTCACAACAACTTCTCTCATTTAAAGCAGCATCACCGTAAACTTCTACAAGCGACCGATGCGCCTCAGCAGCAGATTTCTTTAAATGAAAGAAATAAATCAAAACTTACCGCAAATGACGCTTATTCGGTACAAAACTCGACATTTTCGAACGAAAAGAATGTATACTGCCAATACAAAGTTAATAGTATTTTAAGGTTATGTTGTTGCCAGGTGTCCAAACTTTCTATATGATGTTTTACATCTGGCGATTTCAAAGTAATCTTGTCGGTGGAGCCATCTTTTTAATACGGCGGAAACTTATTTGTATTACTAATACTTTCGGTGGGTCACTCAATATACTGATTGTCATAGCTATCTATAACTATGTGGTAAGGGGTTTGAAGGTTGGTACTGCAGAAAATTCACGTCCTATTGAAGGCGGCAACACCACTAATATGTCATTCTTAAGATTTATTAATCAACTTGGTATATGAATATATTAGCTAAATTGGAATGTTCCGTCCGTTTTTTGCAAAAATATGGTTTTATTTAAGTTACAAAATTAAAAATATATCAATGAAATTATTGTCCATCGTTAGCGATAACTTTTTCCCACATTTCGGGCACCAAGCGAATTCCGCGACGTAAGAATGGCTCATCTTTGGAGGTTATTCAGTCACAGACCCATTTTTTGACATCTTCATAAGAATTGAAACATTCCTCAGCAAGAGCATGTGCTATCGACCGAAACAAATGGTAGTTAAAAAAGGTACATTCCAGTGAATAAGCCGCATGGGATAACTCTTCCCAGCAAAGTGCTTTTAACGTTTCCTTGACAATTTTTGTGATGTGAGGCCGAGCGTTATCATGACGCAAAATCACTTTATGCTCTCTCGTTTAATATTTTGGTCGTTTTTCGTGCAATACTCAGCTCGAACGGATAATTTGTTATTGGTAGAGATGTCCTGTTACTGTTTGACTAGATTTCAACAGCTCATTGTACACTACACCTTTCTAATCTCTCCAAATACAGAGCATTGCCTTCTTTCTGTGAATATCCCGCTTTGGCCTCGATGTTGAAGATTGGCCGGAGTCGCATATGGTTTTTTGACGTTTGGGGTTGTCAAAATATATCTATTTTTCATCCTCAATGATGATACGATGTAAAAATCTTTTTCTTTGTTGCCTGGCAAGTAGAATTTCGCAGATGGTTTTTCGACGCCTTTTAATGTCTCTTGGCATTAGTTCATCTGGAACCCATTTTCCTTCTTCTATATGTTTCTAAGGCTTTCAAATGATCAGAAATGACAGATTGAGCACAATTTAATGCTTCTGCAAGTTGTTTTTGCGTTTGTCATAAGTCTTCATTCATCAATGCCTGCAATTTTTGATCTTTGAATACTTATGGCCGTTCAGAACACTCTTTGTCCTCCAAATCAAAATAACCACTTTTAAAGTATTGGAACCTATCTCTGCATGTTTTATCGGAAAGAGTACTATCATTATAAACTTTTACAAGCATTTGATGAGCTTCATATGTAGGTTTCTTCCATTTGAAGCAAAAGATTAACATTTCGCGCAAATGACGCTTATTTAGCTCAATTTTCGACATTTTCAAGGCAGTAAGAAACAATGTTATTGATGCGAACGTATATACTGAATTTTATTGACAGGTGGTAAAACTAAAAAATTAAGCTTAGTATAGACATTAGAGCTACCGACAATTCTAGCTACAGCTATTCGTCGCTAGATGGACAGAACTTTTCTATTCACGTAATATATGAAAAACCATCAATATAAAAATTCTTGATGCAATTTATTAAGTTGCATCAACACATATCACAAATATAAAGTTATATATAATTGATATTTATTTCGTTTGAAAACGTGGGCTTTTCCCTTGCACTCTTGTATATTGCGGTGCGATTTTCTTTCACTGAATTATTTAATGCAGAAAACGAATGTATGACTTTAATTGCTCTCATATCTGCATATATGGTAAATAAATAAGATTATTTGACCTATATTAAAAAATGAATACAAAGCTCAAAATTTTCTTTTTAAAATGCATTTATTATAGTTCGATATGTATAAGTTTTCCGAATGAAAACACAATTAAAATATTAAATAGTTCGAAAAGTTCTGAGAATCTCTGAAATCTATTGCTCTCATAACCAGTTACTCGGAAATATGTTGACCAAAGCTGATGAATGAGAGCTCGATTGAGAGAGAATGCTTTGCTTTTTCAAATGCAGGTCTGGCGTTGACAAACAGAGTAAGCGATGTTGGATGGCACGATCGCGAAGATGGACAAAAGATGGACAATCGCTTTATTTGCGCCACGTTATGCTTTCTTGCTTTTGGAAAGAAAATATTGGTTGTACTGCGGTACAAACTATTCGTAAAATTTTCAATGTTTACGGGGAAGACGCAGTGTCAAATCAAACAGTCAATCGTTTGTGCGATTTCGTAATGGTAATTTCAAGTTCGAAGATGCTCCATTTAGAAGACCTATCACGCCACTCGAAAACCGCCTAAAACAAAAAAATCGATAAAAATTCTTGCAAAAATATATTGGAACTTTCACATCTTAACGTTCCCAGAGCATGCACCATGATAATTTGAAAAGTACAGATTAGGTAAATTGGGTTATTATCGATACTTGGATTCTTCACACATTGACTTAGCACAAACTTCTCCCCGGGTTGATGCGCTTTTAAGAAAAAGTTAGAAGGAGCCTTTTTTGAAGCAGTTGATTACTGCCGACGAAAAATAGATACTCTACCGTAGTGTGACAAACGCTCTTGGGGAAAATAGACTTAACCTCCACAAACGACCTCAAAGGTCTAGATCTGGCCCTATGCGACTTTTACGGGTACAGGGGCTGTACTCAAGGAAAGATATG